ACACATTCACACTCACTCATACACACACACACACACACACACACTCACACACATTCACACTCACACACATTCACACTCACTCATACACACACACACACACACACACACTCACACACATTCACACTCACACACATTCACACTCACTCATACACACACACACACACACACACACTCACACACATTCACACTCACTTATACACATACACACACACACACACACACACACTCACACACTCACCCAGCTGTTCGGGAGCATTTGTGTGAGCCGTGCCCGAGGCTGGGTTTGAGGGGCTCCCTGTGCTCATCCCTTTGGGAAGGGCTCATCCCTCTGCCCCACGGGGAGCAGCAGCAGGGCCGAGCCCCTGGCTCAGAACCAAGGCCTTGGCACCATCTGCCCCTCACCTCTGTGCTTCTGTGTCCTCCTCCCTTGTCCTTGCTCCACTTGGTTTGGGATTTGTTCTCCCCGTTGTTTTCTGCAGAGCAGAAGGCTCCTGTTGTTTGCTGGGTTGTGCTGTGGGGTTTATTCACATTCCATATCCTGCTTCCATGGTTCTGCTCCTGCTTTTCCCTCGAGCGTCTCTGTGCTCTTTGTTTTGCCTTCCTTGCTGGGTTTGCAGTACAAGCCGTGGGTGCTCGGCAGACCGGGCACCCCTGCTGGGGTTTTTGCCATGTTCTGTGTTTGGGGTAAATGTTCCAAGCCCGGGAGGGGTAGTCCTAATTTTGAAATCCAGATTTTCAGCTGAGCTCCGCATCTTGAGAGCTTGGGGGCTGGAATTTCTGACTGTGGTTGTCTTGGTCATTAAATATTAAATGAGGCTGTTGCTGCTGGAGGGTTCATCCAAACACCAAAGGCTCTGAGCTGTCAGGGGAAGTGGTCAGGGATGGATACTGGACCGTGCTGAGGATAAGGCCCCAGGAATATGCACAGTATTGGGTGTGGATGATGCTCCTGTGAGTCACTCACTTGGCTGTGGTTGCCTTTAAAAAGGCAGCATTGGCCATGAGCTGTGAGAGCAGAACAGGGGGGTTGGACTTCACACCCCTGTGCATTAACACTGCAGGATCCTGTCAGGAGCCATCAGCTCCATCTTGCCTTGCAAAACCTGCTGCTGGCTCCAGGTTCAGCCTCAGCTGCATTCCAGCTGGGAGCAGGGACACAAATGTGCTGGAGCTGTCGCTTCAAGGGCAGCTCAGGGCTGGAGGCACAGGCAGGAAATCTCTGAGTTCCCAGCCTAAGCTCCCAAATACTGCAATTCTTCCTCCCTCGGATAGAGAGGTGCCCCACGGTGGAGGGTCACAGCCAAAGGAGCTCATGGAAATAGGACAGATGCAATTAGAAGAGCCCTGGTCCCGCTGCCTCTCCAGGGCCCTGCTGGGCACTTGCCAGCACCACTCAGGAATACATTTAGGAAGCTCTTCCAGCAGCCACCGCCCAGACGAGATAACAGCATTTCCCCTTCTTCCTGCCATCCCTGATCCCTGGAGTGGCTGCAGGGAGGGGGATGCTGCAGCTCACTCACCAGAGAGGAACAAAAACCAGCCTGTGCTTCCCCAGAACAGGCACAACTCCCTCCTGGATCCTTCCCGGCTCCGTGGCTGCCGGGGGGTCAGTCCTGGTCAGCCTGACGCCCTCCTGGACACTGCCTGGAGCCCATGGACACCAGGCAGGGAGTCCTGGGAGCCTGGAGCAGGGCCAGGAAAGGCAAACCTAATCCTGCTGCGTCCATTTAGGGAATGCAGGATTTGTAAATTGTCTCCTTGAGAAACAGTGGGGGAGAAATGTGCAGTTCTGGGGACTCCAGGCTGCAGCTGCAGATGGTTTCCAATTGGGAGAATCCCACTGAACGTGCAGAATCAGGAAAAAGGGGGTTTCTTTTAATTTTCAGTTGATTTAGAGCCTTTAATCTTTGTCAGGGTAGACAGTGATGCCTCTGGCTTACTGCCACAATTCCTGTGCCAAGGGCTGCCCAAACCCCCCCAGCAGTCACAGCCCTGCCCGGGGTGGGAAAAATGAAGTTGCTGAGCAAGAAAATGTTGGGATTCGTCCAAAGAGGGAAAGCTTGTGAATGAGCAACGTATGAATGCTGCACATTAAATGTGCCCCAGCGCATCTCTGCCCATGTTGGAGAGGAGGCACTGGGATATAATTGGTTCTTGGCTGCAGCAGTAATCCCTTGGGAATAACACAGCTAATTAAAGCCTAGGAACTGGTGACCAGCAGCTTCTCCTCTCTCCCTGGCTGGGGCTGTGCTAATCAGGGGCAGGTAGATTCCAGGAAGTTTTGTGCTAATCAAGGAGGGAAGGATTTGGCTTCAAAACTCAGCGCTTTGTCAAATCCTGAATATCCCAAGGGATGAGCTGGGGGGGATTTTTGGATCCTGCTGGGCAGGAGGGATTGGCTGTGCTGGGCCTGTGTCAGTCCCACTGACCCTTCCCTGGAGTGTGGCCTCTGGCTGCCTCCCTTGGGGCAGGGTTTTGGGAGACAGAGCCGAAGATGTGAACTGGGGAGCTGCTTTTTTATCTTTTAAGAGATGTTAAATGTTCCAGATCTTTGGTGGGATGAAGGGAACTGCAGGTGTTCAGCTCCTCTGAGGGCCAGGCCTTGGGACTCACGAGCAGAGTCTGGAATGAGGCCAGGTTGGATGGGGCTTCGGGCAAACTTGTCTCAGGAAGGTGTTCCTGGTCTACGGAAGGTGTTCTTGGTCTCAGGAAGGGGTCTCTGCCCCTGGCAGGGAGTGGGGCTGGATGAGCTTTAATGTCCCTTCCAGCCCAAACTACCCTGGCAATCTCTCATTCTAAACCTCAGTCCATCTGCAGCCGAAAGGACTAAAGTCTCTGAGGGGAGAAACAGAGGAGTGAGAACCTCTGCATAAAACAGAGACAAATCCCAGTTCTGGTGTCCAAAAATGGAACCACAAGTGTTATGGAAATCCTGGAGAAAGTTCTTTGTAGGGAGAGACTTGACCCAGTTCATGGACAAGACCAACATTCCCTTTATTTCTGTGCAGACACCTCAGGGGAAAGGCCAGGTACTGAAAGGTTTTGTGTTTGGCAGGCAAAGGAAGGAGGAACAAAGGCAGGAGCTGAGGATGGACAACCCTGGCTGGAAAAGAGGCACATGCTGGTTACCAGGAGGGTGAGTAACTGCTGGAACAGTTGAGCAAGGAACTGTTTGGTTTAAGAGCAATTATATTTAAAAGATTGTGTTCCATAAAACAGTTTTTTTCCTATTAGAAGTTGTAAATCCAACATGTGTGACTCAAAACTGCCTGGCACTCCCTGAGGTGTGGCCAGTGGCACCAGGAGGAGGCACCATTTGTTTTACTGGTGGCAGCTGTGAGGACTGGTTTAGACATAAAAAACCACTTAAAAATCAAAAGCAAGATCCATGCACTTGCTCAGGATTTGGACAATGCAAAAGGACTTTCAGGCAATTAACTGGAATTTTGCCTGGAGGAGAACTTGCTGTGGTGGCAGATAACACCTGCCAGAGGTTCTGGTCCAGCTGGAGCGTGGCACTGAGGAGGGAGGGAGGGATGACCTGAAGGTTTGAGCCCTCAGTACCAGCGTGCCCAATTCCCAGTGACTCTCACACAATCCAATTAAACTCCAAACACTAATCAGCTGCAGTCCTGCTTCCTTTGCCCTTCCCTTCATTGGAAAACTCCAGGTGCACATCAGCCATCCTGCAGGGGAGTTGCACAATGATTTGATGATGTGTTTGCACAGCAGGTAGGAAATTCAAAAGCTTTGTTGTGCTTCTATTTCCCAGAAATCCCCCAGTCTCCAGCTGAGATGGAATATTTGCAGCTCCCCAGGCCTCCAAGGGGGTGAAGCAGGAACAGAGTGGAAGGAACAGAAGCCCTGGAGCAGCAGGTTGGAGAAGGCCCCTGGTATAACCAGGCACAAGAGGCACCCACGGGTGAGTGGGGACAGAAATCCACTGCTCAGAGCAAGGAAATGTTAAAGAATTTCAACATTTAAAAATGTGAAGCATGCAGGGCAGTTCCAAATGGTTCCATTTTTGCACATGCAGGGGTGTGCTGGGCTGTTGCAGGAGTGGAAGCAGGGCTGGTGATGCAGGGCTCCCTGCAGCAGCCTGAACACCTTTGCTCTGCAGTGCTCCAGGTTCTAGGGAAGATTTTTAACATTTCTACTAATCCCAAAGCACTGAGCCCTCCCTGCAGAGCTCAGCTCAGGCAGCAGAGGTTTCACAGCTCATTCGACCCCAGGCCCAGCTCTAAACTAAAACTAAACTAAAAATGCAGCAGGACAATCAGAAAAACTCTGCACAGCTGCAGAGACAAAAATGACATTGAAGCACCAAACCTGCTGTGTTTGGAAAGGCTTTTCCTTTCAGTGAAAGGCTGGAGCTCCTCAATTTCAGACACAAAGACACTTCCTGAAATGAATTGGAGATGACACCCAATAGCCAAGGCAGCCACTGCTAATTATTTAATTAAATCATGTACTGAAATCTGCATGGAGACAACTGCAAAATCGCCTCCAATGCAAACACTTCAGCACTGATAAAACCCAGGAAAGCAGGAATTACAAAAGGCACCTTCTCCAAAACCTGAATGAACCACCAAAACATATAAATATATACATACACATATATTTATATTTATATCACAGCCTGGTTTGGGCTGAAAGGAGCCTCAGAGATCATCTCATTCTAGAAACACTTTCAAGTCCTCCAGGTCCATTTACTGTGGATCCCTGCAACATGAATGGATGTCAGACAAGCACATTTCATTTGAAGGTACCTTTACAAGGTGTGCAGATAGAGAGGGAGGCACAAAATGTCACTGTTGCCTTCAGAAAAATCAATACCCAGTAAACAAACTGCTGGAAGGGTGGCAGGAAGTTCAATGACAACACCACTGCAAGCAGGGCCAAAAATCCCACTGCTTCCCATGAATGTCTTGCAAGGAGTTATTTAATGCCAAACCCACCCTGGGGAGGGCTCAGCCCAGGCAAGAACCTCACAACCCAAAGAGCAGAAATCCCAAGCCTTTATTACAAGATCCATGATTCCAGGGCAGAGCTGTGGCCAAGGGGGTGCCAGTCCCACCCAGCTGAGGGTGGGGCAGTGCTGCTGCTGGATTTCCCCCTTCCCAGGACACCACCAGCCTTTGTTCCAGCCTTTGGATTCCCCTGAGCTGCTGCTGCCAGCACTGGGTGGACCAAACCAAGGAACTGACTCTTGGAAAAACCAAACACCTCAAGGGAAGGGGAAAAAAAATATTAAAAAAAAAAAAAATCACACACTGGACACAGTTATCACTATGAGAAGTTGAATGAGTTGCTTTACATCCACATTGCAAATAATTTCACAAGCTGGGAAATGAGTTTGCTGAGTCTCCCCTTCCCCTGGGGGTGGAGGGTGTTGGTTTGCTGGATCCTGGCATGGGATGTGCAGAGCCACACTGAATCCATGTTATCTGTTGTTGTTGGGGTTTTGAACAAAGTTGATGGAGTAGGAGCCAGTTGATGAATCCTGTTTGACCTGGAAGTTCTCTGTTGACAGGCCAAAGGGGCGCAGGACCAAATTGCCCAGATCTTTCAGTTTGCCTGCAATGACATCCCAAGAGAGCAGGTGAGAGCTGAGCACAGGGAAACTCCCATGGACTTACACCCAACTGCACAGCCCAGCCCTGCTGATTTATCCATCACAGCTAAATGCTGAGGAAATCTCTGTGTTTTGTTAATATTTATAATATTTCTTACCAGGAAATAAAAATCATTGTTAAATATCCACAGAATATGCGAGTTAATAAAGTCCTGTCAGTGTATGGATCTCATGTGCCTCTGGGAAATGAATTTTGCTACAGCTGTAAGAGGAGAAGGACAACAAAAGGACATCCTTTTTTGTTTGCTCTTTTCCAAACCCATGAACAGCCCTGACTGCCGTGGGATCCACCCCACAGCTGGAGCAGCGCCCGGGAGAAGCTCCCCAGCACAGCAGGGATTTGGGGCTCTGTGAGAATTCCAGCAGCACATCCCAGCTCACCTTCCTGCTCTCTGCCTCCCCGGGCAGGCTCTGGGGCAGCCACACTGAATTAATTGTTAATGAGGCAGAAGAAAGCCTTGGCTTTTCCGGGCACTCCAGCCCGGAGCTGCTGCTGCTGTCCTGGCACACACAGACCCAGCATTGTAGAGAAGCTCTGGCTCCTCCTCCCACAGCTCCTTTCAGCCCTAAATTAAGGGCTGTAGTGAACTGCAATCCCCTCCTAAAGAAAAGCTCCCTCAGAGCCTGTGCTGGGAGGAAGGAAAAGGCACCACGTGGAGCTGGGACTCAGCTGCAGAGGCTGCCCAGCCTCCAACACCCCCTGTCCCCAAGCAGGGTCACCCTCTCCTCCCTCTGCCCATATTCTCACCCATTTTGCTCTTTTTTCTTTCTAACACACCCTGTTTATTTTCCACCTGCACCTCCAGCACATTCAGGTTCTTCACCAAAGCAAATATTCAGAGGTTAAGAAGAAATCAGAACTGTAAAAATCAATTTAGGGCTCAGAAGTCTGTGATTCATTACTCACCTAAACTGCAATTCAACACCCTATTGAAAGAGGCAGATGCAGGAAAAGATTACTCACAATTTACATTAAGATGTAACAGCCAAAATTAATTGCTATTCAGTCTTTCTGGCAACAATTCTGGCTTAGTTGCCGGTGTTAATGTGGGGTTTGGAAGTTGAAAAGCTCCATCTTGCTTGTGTAAAGAATTCTTTTGGAGAAAAGACAAATGTCCTGATCAGGTCTCCTCTCTGTGTAACTTCTTGTGTTACCAACATTTTTAAGCAATTAAAAGAGCAAGGGCAAATCCCTCTCCCTTCCCTAAATGGTAAATGAGGACTGAACTGTAATTTGGCTCTGGTTTAATGACTTAAAATCACCTTGTGCAGGGTTGGGGTTTAGCAGCTCAGCTGCAAACACAACATAACTGTCAATATTAAAAAATACCAACCCATAATTCTTTAGGCAGAAAGCCTAATAAATATCTTTGCTGATCTCAGGTAGCTGGAAAAATCCTTTAGGCAGGAAGGCCCAGGTAAGGTGCTCTGGCTTCCAAACTGCTAAAACCATTCTAAAGCTCACACCTTCTCCCCAGAGGAGTGGTCCCAGATATCACAATAATTATAAAAGTCTCTAAACAAGACTGGAAATAGTTGGCTTTAAGGAGAGAAATACAAACCCCCCCCAGAAAATGGTCACTGTTCACATCCTCAGTCACTGAGGCTCATGGAAGTACAGAGGGAAAAGTCACTTGGAGTTGAGAGCTCCTTCCCAAGGCTGCTCCAAGTCCAGCTCACTTCATCCTGAGCAAACTTCAGTGGCAGAAGAGCTGATGAAACCATGGAATTAACTGAAATACAAGTGTCAGCCTTGGAAAAGGGAGATCCTCAAGGACACACAGCACAAGTGGGCTTGGCTTGGCCACAAAATGGGATTTTTTGGTGATATCAGCCTCGGCAGTCACATGGCCCACAAGGAAAATCCAGGCAGGAATGTGTGCTCTGGGTTATTTACACACAAACACTGCACAAGGGGTTCAGCCTCTGCCAGAAATGAGCTGCAGCCCTGGGAAACAGGAAACACACTTGGGAAGGAGGAGGATGCACTCCGTTTATCTGGGTTGGTTTGTACACAGTTCCTGTTTCATGACACTGGGAGATGGTTGGGCAAACCAGGGCTTGTTTGAGTTGAAAGAATGAAAGCTCAGCAAAACCAGGACAGGCCAATTCACTGACTGAGGATCAGTTCAATATCCAGAGGAGCAAGAGCACAAATTTTTCCTAATTTCAGTTTAGTGTCAGTGCTCCAGTGCCAGGCCTGGCCTGGAATGATCAGGATGCCTCAGACTTGCTGTCCTGGAGCCCAAAAGTCTGGAATATAACCCAGGCACCTGAACTGTCGTGTGGGAAGGGAGGATTGTCCCCCTGGCACTGTGCAAGCCCAGTCACCCAGCTCCAGTCACAGTGCCACGAGCCAGGTTCATCCTGGCAGTGGGAAATGCCATCAGAAAGGGTGGAAAAGTAGGAACAGCTTCAAACAAATTCACTGTAAAACAAAACAGTCCAGAGGAATCTCAGAACCACCACATCCCATCGAGTTTTTCTTCTCCCACTCCTTCCAGAGCTCCCATCTAAGCCTCCCTCCAGGGTTTTCCCCTGACCTCAGACAGAGCTGCACAGTTTCAAATCTTGGGAAGTGAAGAGGGGCAGCTCTGTGGCATCACCCCTGCCTCCCGTAGCAGCACCCAGGGAATCTTGGAACACTCAGGAGAAGGAGCTGCCCACAGTCCTGACTTCATGTTGAGAATGTTTTGTAGAAAGCCCTCAGTGTGTGTGACAGCAGAGCTCAGGCAGGGCTGAGCTCATCCCCCTGCCCCAGTGCCACCATGTCAGTGTCACTGCCCCAGAGCTGTGACAATCCTGTCACACACGGGGCTGGGGTGAACACAGGTGCTGTCCTACCCTGCTCTCCTTGTGTGACATCACTGACAAGAGATTTCTTTCTCCAGAGTCCCAACAGAAACAGTCTGGAGTGGCTCCCAAAAGCCCAGCTCAGTTTTGAAACCCCAACCGCCACATTTAAACTATTAACACTGTTAAAAGAGATCCCACATAGTCTGATACCCAGGAAAAAAACAGCAGTGCAGAACTAGGGTTGGATTTACTGTTCCAGTCAAATCCCTTGTGATTAGTGAGGTCCTTTAGAGTTCAGCAAAGATCAGGAATTATTTTCATATTACTTTGTGCTGAAACCCATCCCATGTCCTACCAATGGGCCTGATCCTTCTGGAGATTTTCTGCATTTGTCATTTATTTATAGCCCCATCACCCTTGACCTGCTTTATTTGGGGCTTGCTCTCAGCACAATGGGGGAAGCAGACTCTGATCCTGCATAGCTCTGCACTGACACTCTGCTAGGTCAGAGCAGAACAAAGCCAGAGCAAATCAGAAAAGAAATGACAGAAAAACATCAGCATAAGCTGAAATGGTCTCTTCTTCTCAAATATATCAAGAATCAGTGTGAAAGACAGGCTGAGTTTGTTTAACCTGATTTTCTGCAGAGCAGCCAAACACTGCCTTCCCTTCCCACCAAACACTGCGTTAGGAAATGTAATTCCACTCCTGGTGCTATCCCTGGCTAGGTCCAATTCAGCCTCCAGCCAAACAGAATGAAATGCTGAATAAATCAAGGCAAACACGAGCACTTGGAGGTCTCTGGGCTGGGAGTGCTACAGAAAGAATCACATTTATTTCTTCAGCCCCAGATCAAACATCCCCAGTTATTCCAGCTGGGGGAGTTCCTTTAGGTACAGGTTTAGTGAAAGCCCTGGTTCATCCCTTTCAAGGGAATGTTTGCAGGGAGAAAGGGCTGAGCAGTTGGGCTGTGTCAAACCATCTTCCCCAGCTCTTACATAAATCAATATGAAACTGTTTTAGAAGGTTTTCTTTCTTTAAATGGAACTAATGGCCTTTTCTGCATGGGAGAATTCCTTGTCTTCAGTTTACTGTAGGTGAAACCAAGCAATTCAGAACTACAAAGAAATCAGGAATTTTGTTTAACACTGAACAAATATTTCTTTTCAGATTTACCTCCTTTAAATTTTATACAACAGATTCAATTAATGCATTTTTTCCTAGTAAATTATGAAGGTTTTTATGGAAGTACATGCTACTCACCCAGCATTTCTTTCTTTAATTTTTCATTCCTCTCCTCAATTTGCTGTGGTAATCTCTGTGGAGAGAGAGAAAAAGTGGGATCACATCCCTGCTTTCAGTAGTGCTCCCATTTTGGACATCAGCAGTGACAGAGACACAAATCCTGATTTGTGCAGCTCCTACTCCAGCCTCTGAACATTGCTAATCCAGAGACTCAGCACTTCCCACTCCAGGAGTGTCCTTATGGACACTCATTTTTATCTGGTGTCTGTGATACTTATCCTAAAGTGCAGCTGCTTCTGGGAAATCACTTTATATCTGCCCTAAAATCCCTCAAAAACTGTGTGGAAGCTGAAGTTCTCCCAGGAGTTACACACCTGGGAAAACCCAAACCTAACCATTGCTCCCATACAATGAAACTTTCTGGGAAAGCAGCAATAGGGATGATTTGACCACAAACCATGATAATTCCAAACTGTTCAGTCTGGCATTGAAAAAGTCAAAAATAACTGAGGATTGAAATCAGAACCCCAGCTCTGCACTCCTGAAATACAAACAGTGCTCAAGTATTGGAGCAGGTACCAAATCAGGAATCAAAGAACTATTGTGCATTTCATATTTTAATCCGTCATTTAGCGGGGTCATGACATTCCCTAGAGCAGTGTGAGATCATTCCTGTGGGCAGGGAGGAGGAAGATTTGCTCTAACTGTGAATGAAGCCAATTTGCAGATTTTCTTGAGGCATCATTTTCATTACCAGTGAGGGGGAAAAGATCCTGTGACATTCCTGCAAAGCAGAGACTTTTACCTTTCAGCTTCTCAGCCTCCTCTGGGTTAGAGCAGGTATGTGGAGTCAGCAGCTGAAGCTTGGGGGGGAGTTTCTTATGAAATTTAGAGATTTATGATGAATATTTGAAAAGTGTAGAATTATGGCTGTCAGGATTTCCTTAACAGGTTTTCAAGGAGGGAGTTTTAAGCTTCAGTCTTAATAGTTTTGCTTCTACCCTCGAATCCGACAAGGACCAGCTCAAGGCAGAACAGACCAAATGCCAGTGCAGGGTAACTTGGGGGCGTTTTGTCCAAAGGGCTCTGCCAAGGGAGGGCAGGGAGCAGGAAGGGTGGAACCCCCACCCTCTGCACTGCCCAGGCACAGAAATCAGGAATAAACACTGATCACTCTGAACTGGGCCTGGAGGATGGCCAGAGGAGCAGCAGCACTGCTGGAGATTCCCTTCTGGGGCTGGGCAAGGGCTCCTGTGGGATTCTCAGGGCACAGTCACTGAGAGAAGATCCTGGCTTTGCAGCGGTCCAAGGACAGTGTTTGCACTTGTAGGGCTTCCAAAGAGCCTGAACAGACCCAGCCTGAACAGAACCAGCCACCCCTGAGGCTCTGACTCAGAATCCTGGATTATCCTGAGTGGGGAGAGAGCACCAGGATGATCCAGTCCAGCTCCTGGCCCTGCACAGACCCCCCAGCAATCCCAGCCTGGACATCCCTGGCAGTGGTGTCCAAACCTTCCTGGAGCCCTTGGGGCTGTTCCCATTCCCTGGGGAGCTGTTCCTGGCCCAGGGGAAGCCCCAGCCCAGCTCCAGAGGCAGCAGGGCCTTGATGGGAGCTCAGCTGTTGATGGGATCACCCCTCACCACCAACAGCACTCACACAGTTAAGCAGAATATTTTCTGCCATCAGTGCAACTGATCCAGTCCCCCAGGAAATCATTCCAGGCAAGGTTTCTTGCCTAATATGCCATAAAAGCTGTTCCTAATCTGTCACTTACAACACCACAGTGTGGGGGAAAGGGGGGCAGAATCACTGCTAATGATTTATTTTCCCAAATGGAGACTTAGAACAATTAAGCCTTTCAAAAAGATTTTTGTAACAACATATTCAGAGTAGGTTTAGAGACAAATTTGCAGGTGATGCACATGAATGTTTTTTCCTTCTGAGGCAGAATCCATTGCAGGTTCACTGGTGTGAAGTTGAACTAAAATAATGATAAATAAATTAGGCCAAAGTTCACTGAAAGGCTTAAGCTTACCATGCAAGCTTCTCTGGCTTGATGAACTGATGGGTCTTTTTCTAGGACTGCCTTATAATCTTCCAGAGCTTCATCTAATTTTTCTGTTTTTTCATAGAGTTCTGCTCTTCTCAGCAAAGCTCTGACATAGTGAGGGTCTAATTCCACAGCTGAAAAACAAAAGCAAAGCCCAGAATTGTACTTGGAACATTTCTCCACCCCTCAGATGAATTCTGAAGTGTGTGTTACATTTGTAAGTTGTCCTTAGAATGTAACTCAGGATCAAGCAGAGGCACAGCTTAAAGCTAAGTCAGAATTCAGAAACAGCTGCCTGGGACAGCCTCATGATCATATTTCATTTAATGTCCACAATCTCTCACAGATGAAAGTGATTTATGATCACAAAGCTTGAAATGTGCAATCCTATCCATGCAGGGATTCTAAGTGATGCTACAGGAACTTTAAGGACCTGCAAGATATTTCAGTTTTTGTGTGTTTAGCAAGTAAGTGGCTATTATTAGATTGCAGCTAAAGTTAAATCTCCCTCCAGACACACACAGCAGGGAAAATCAGCCTTGCCACGCTTATCTCAGTTCAAGTGGAGACAAACTCCAGGAGAATTTCTGGAGCTCTTCTGAATTTAATATCAAACAGTCCAGATTGTGTTGGGAATGCACAAGCAGGGATTTCAGCTCTGTGAGCTGGAGAGGGGCATCTTGACTGAATCTCAGCTTTCCCTCCCCTCACTCCCTTGGCAGGCAGGGCTGTTTGCAGTGGCAGTTCAGACTGAATGCTAAACTCAGCAGTCACCTCCACATGGTAATTCCTCAAGAATTCCTTCATCCATTTTTCACCACAGAAACAGGGAATGTGAAAGATTTACCCACAGAAACAGGGAATGTGAAAGATTTACCCACAGAAACAGGGAATGTGAAAGATTTACCCACAGAAACAGGGAATGTGAAAGATTTCACCTCAGAAAGAAGGACTATGAGGGATTTTTTATCACAGAAAGAGGTCTGTCCATTTTATAATTCCCAGCCCATTAAAATGGTTCTGGGGACAATTAAATCTTGGATTATCCAGGGAAGTATTGCAGTTTATTTCCTCTGGAAGGACAAAGGCAATGGCACAGTCAGCAAGCTGCAGGTGACTGAATCGCTCTGCTCCAGTCCCTGGGGAGCATCACGCCCTGGCAGCTGAAGTCTCCCTGCTCAAAGCACATCGATTCCCTCTGAGCCACTGCGAAATTCAAGGTGTTTTTCAGAAATCAGCAGCACCAGAGCCAGGCAAAGCCCAGTGAGAGAGGCCAGGGAGGATCTGGTACCTCCAGGAGCCCTTTCAGCAAGCACAGCTCCCATTTCTCTGCAGGCAGGGCTGGCACACAGCCACTGGATTAGTTCTCTGATTGGTAATTTGGATTTTTTTCCCCAGCTGTCACAGGGAGTTTAACAAACACTCGAGGGTGGGTGAGTGGGTGGAAGCAATAAAGCAAAGCACAGCTGAACTGATTCCACCAGAAGGTGCAGAGAGAGAACTGTGCAGGGCAGGAACAGGGGAACATAAGCCCTGGTGACAAAGCGAAAGCTGTGCAGGAGAAGGACTTGGTAATGCTTTTAACTCTATAAAGCCTCAGAGCTCTTTGGAATCTGGGATTAAACCAGGATTTGGGGGGGATGGCAGGTGGAAGTGGGTTTGAAATCACAGGTGTGGGAAATGGTTTCCAGAGAAAAGACTTTCCTCTTAGAAATAAGTACAAACTGCAGCCTTATGGTACAAGAGAATAGAAAGTAGATTATTTCAGGTAGGAAAGGTTTAACAGACATTTTACAAAATATGTAATACAAATCAGGTGTTTTCTGTTCAATTCTTTAAAGACCCTTATGCCCAAAATTACAGCTCTGCAGTAAAGGCACTAAATGACACAATTTATGTATAAAAATCTGGCACAAGAGCAGCACAGAGAGGAAAAAAAAAAAATACCTTTGGTGCAGTCACTCAGGGCAGCCTCTGTCTTGTCCTAGAGCACAGAACAGGTTTGTTAGATTGAAGTCACATTTCTTCATGTCCCCAGCCCTGGAGGTGCCCAGGGAAGGGTTGGAGGTGGCACTCAGTGCTCAGGGCAGGGGACAAGGTGGGGATGGGGCACAGCTTGGACTCCATGGTCCTGAAGGCTCTGATAATAATTGCATTTGTGCCAGCCTCAGTCAGGTGTGACACAGAATAAAACCAACACTCACCTGTTTCATTTTTGCAGCAGCTCTGTTTGAGAACAGAACAGCCCTGTCCTTCTGGAAGCAGGCTGGGCAAATCTGCAGAGCCTTGGTGTAGGAGTCTTCTGCCTCTCCATAGTCTGCAGAGAAACAGGAAAAACCCAAACCAAACCATTTATTTCAAATCACTGAACCCCAGGGCTGAGATTCCTTTGGAAACAATTCCCAGTATCCGGTGATATGACACCAGAATCAGCAGCTGCTCTCAAAGAACATCACTAAGTACATAAATACAATCAATTATTTTAAAATTGACTTAATTCTGCTTACAAAAGCAGAAATGTACTCCTAAGCTGAATGCAACAAGTGCAGCAGGACGTGAATGTAATTCTCATCCCAGAAATGGTTTCCTCTTTGAGCAGAGGTGGATTTCCTTTGGCTGAAGTGTGTAAAGCTGTCACTGCACTGCAGCTGCTCAGAGCAGCTGCAGAGAGCTTTGATGGCCACATCACCTTCACCTGACTTAAAAGACCAGAGGGGCTCTCAGGGATGAGACTCCAGCACTCCAGGCCCGTGGCTCTCCTGGGCTGAGCAGCTTCCTCCTGAAGCCCTCCAGAGATCACTGGATTGTGTTTCCTTAGGGCACAACGAGGCACCTCCAGCCTCTGCCTGCTCCTCAGGGCACACGGACTCCTTGCCTGTGTCCTGCTGACTGAGGGAGGCAGGAACCTGCATTTCCTGCTCTCTCTGGGAATCCTCCTCCCACCAGCAGATTCAATCAAAGGCAGATGTCAAAACCACTTCCCCCCTTCTGTTTGTTCATTGAAATCAATGTATAAAGGTACAAGACAGCTCCAGAGCTCCAAATCTTGCATGAGTTCTAAGCACAACCATCAGCGCAGATCAGAGCCCTGGGGAAGCCTTTTCTGATGAGTAAAAGAAACCCTTTCTTGTTCTTGGAAGACAGTCCAAAATCCATGGGTTTGCATGTAAACACTCAGCTTTCATGGGAATCCAGCTTTAGTATTAAGATCTTTGGGATTTAAACAACTCTGAAGGAGGTCTGATAGCTCTGTCTCTTCTCTAGAGCTGGATGAAAAATGAAAGAGGCGATAAAATTCAACAAGGACGGTGTGAGAGCTTCCTCAGGGTTTTCTGCAGCACCACCAGGATGGCTCAGAACTAATGTGAGATTCTCTAACATCCACAGGGTGCTCAGAGATGATCAACCCACCTCCTTTCTTGAAGTGCTCATTTCCTTTCTCCTTCAGCCCCGTGCTCTCCTTTCTTCTTTTCTGCAAAAGAAAAGACAATGTCTCAGAGTATTTCACTGAAATGAACAACTAGGTCAGCTGCAGCTCCAAATAAAGTATGGGAGGGAAGCAGAATAAGACATAACCTGAAGAGTTTTAACTCTGCCAAGATCTGCTTGTAGACCCTGTGACATGAAATCCTTTCTATATCCATGAAACACTGGAGTGTAACAGCGAGGCAATTAAAAAGCTCCACTTCACAGGCACCAGGATGCAGGGAGAGCATCCATGGAGATTTCCATGCTTTAAACCAACACATCAGCCTTTAGCTGGCTGTTTGCTTCTCCTTTCCAACTCCATTTCATTCACTCACTGCAGGTCAACTGTGCAGAATATATTTTAAATGTAAAGTCTCAAAAGTTTTGCTGGAAATAATTCCACCTCAGCAATTCCAGTTATTGTCAGAGATGCTCAAGGAGAAGGTCCAGGCTGAGAAAGATTTCTGCCCTGAAAGATTTTTTAGGTGAAGTGAGTGCAGCCCCAGAAGCGGGTTCTTTGTCCAGTGAGAACTGCACATGTGAGCAGAGCTGTGTTTTCAACCATGAAACCTTGGCACGAGGGGCTCAGGCTCTCAGCCTGTGACACAGAAAACTCAGGATGTCACCGAGCCATCCCTTCAACCTCCTGACAGTGCAGACATTCCTGAAACAAAGCAGGGAAACATCACAGAGCTCAGGAGTCATTCTGTGCTGCAAAACCCATCCTTGGAGCACTGCTTTTTCTCCCAGCACACAAAGGACTTCAATGGAGGTGTCTGTAAATGACAGATCACTGAGCAATTAAAAAGCCAACAGTAGGAAAAGGAGCAGTTTCCTTTCCTGCAGATTGTGTGAATCAAGGATTAATGCAATTATCAATATCACACAGAACATCTCCTTGGAAACAGCTAAATATAGTACAGAGTGTGGAGCACTGCACCAGCTCCCAGCTATGCCAAGGAGCTGACAAACAGCTCAAAATCACAGGTTCCTCCTCCTGCTTTTACTGGCCTTGGGAATTGATTCACCTGACCACTGGCACCAGCTCCAGAACAGACCAGGCTCACTGGAAGGACACTGAGTCATGACACAAAATTCCACAGCAAAATCTCATCTGCGCCCTTTGATACACGCCCAGACCATCAAATCTGTTCCTATTGCCTGTTAAATAGCTTTTCCAATTCCCACAACTGCTCATATTTTACAGAAACCCCACAAGACACAGGGCAGACAAACCATGCCCAGTTATTCAGGAAGTGCCTCTGCTCAGGGAGGGCTGACAAACCCCCTCAAATCCTTCCACAACACCCCAAGGGTCACACTTGGTGCTTTCTAAACATGAACATACAAATTCCACACTTCAGGCTGTATGAAAATCCCAAATGCTCTGTGTAATGCAGAATTCTGCTCTTCAGCACAGGCAATGTGGAACTGCTACACCTCAATTTTCCAGGGAGCAGACAGAAATTCCTGCCTGGACCCCACAAAAAAAAAACATTTTAAAATATTCTGCAGAGCATAAAGAGTGAAAATGATCCCAACACTCGATGGCACTGAACAAAGCAGCCCCATCTCAGCATGGAGCAGGCCTGGGATGAGGATCCTGCTGGAAAGATCTCCACAGACTGCCCTCAGTGAGGGGAAGGGCTGCCTGAAACACAAACCCCACTGACTTCATTGCTCATGACCTATTTAGAAGTGGCCTTTCAGTGCCATGAGCACTCTCTGCTGCACAGGGTTCAGTTACAGCTCCACAAGAATGAAAGGATTTTTATTATGAACACAACTACAGCATGCTCACACCAGTCCTGAGCCAGAAACCCTGGAACTGAGGGATGCTGGATGAGAAGTTTGACCTGTATGATCGATATTTTGTTTCATTTTATCCAAATTATTAAAAAATATTACGTGTTTACCCTAATTATGCATTAAATACTAACATAAAAAGAGATTTGCAGCAAGAAAGCTTCAGCTTTATATTAAAAAAAGAAATAAAAGGAAAACCAACAAAGCAGCAATTTAAAGAGCTCTGTGTATGATTCTGTAATTTATTCAGCTCCCTGCAAAGCAGCAATGGTTCAAAACCTGCATTTCTGCGAGAGCCTGACCAACATTTTCAACGCATCCCTGGTTGATGGGTTTCACTTCCAAACTGAGTGTCCAAAGTATTTTTACAAAGGTGAAGTCTGTGGGTACCTCCTGCACGTCAATGGATTTGCATTTCAGGTGTGACTGACCAAGAAACAACATCTAAAGGCCAATTCCTCCGGCTTTTCCACAAGATGTAAAAGCATGAAAAATGGATGAGCCCCTCACACGCTAAAGGCACTGCCCTGCAAAGCAGGCTGGGTGGGAAATAAATCCATTATTTATTCCTCCATCCAGACATTCCTGTAACAGAAATTCCTAACACAGAAAGACAACTCTTACAATTTCCATTTCAGCTGGGCTGCTCCAGGAGAGGCTGGGAGGACCTGTTCAAATCCAGGGCAAAAGGGCAGCCTGAATCCTGGAATCCCAGGAAAAGCCATCCTGGCCTGCTCCGTGCCCTGGAGCCAGCCACAACTCCCCAGTTTACCATTTTCTGCTTTTTGATGGCAGCAAAATATAAAGGTTTGGGTTTTTTTGTGAATTTTAGTAATACAAAGATGACAAATTCCATGGCAGGCCCTGATTGTGGCGTGGTTTAAAAAGTTTTTGAAGTTCAGAAGAAATAACTGAAAGTAACCGGTGATTATTCTTACAGGATCTGATTAGAAATGTTTAAATTTGGATACTGAATTCCAATCCCATACTCAGAAAAAAATCAGTATTTAACCCAAACCTGCCTGGCAAAACCAGGGCTGCTGGAGATGATCTTGAGTAGTGACAAGGGACAGCTTGGCCTCATGACAATAAAGTACAAACCTAAATCACACACAGCCCCTGCACCTCAGCTGCTCTGCCAAAACACTCAGGCTTAACAAGAAAAACACGATATGAAACAGAATTTTATAGAATTTATTTATAACTATATAATTATAAATAAATTTTATTTGGATATTAAATGTAATTTTCAGAATTATAAAAGCATTACTCTGCTATTAGAGAAGACAGCAGCCTACATATTCCCTGTTTCCTTGGGAAGTGAGCAATACAACAGAAATGAAATCCTTGAACTGTGGGAGCTGAAGGAACAACACCCTCAGTTTGTGACATTGGTATTCAACATTCCCAACATTTCCTCTGGCTGCTCCTGTGCTTGGATTGATCCCTTGATTTCCCTTTGCTGGGAAATGTTCCTGGCTCCAGTTCTGGAGACTCCACTTCCAGTGGACCTGCCCCTCACAGTCCCCTGGGAAGGTCCCCAAAACCAGGGAAATCCAAATTCCTGGAGTTCAGAGGGGGCACAGAAAAGGGAATTTTAAACAGATCAGGAATGCATTCTTCACCTTCCAGTCCCACTTCTCAGTCATTTATTAGCAGTTGTCTGCTTCCCCCTGCAGTTTTGGGAAGCTACTGCTCTATCCTGCATCCAAGGGTTTGGATTTCAGTTTAAGGTTGGAGTCACCCCCAAACCCCCTTGTTTAAATCTTGAAAACACCCAAAGCTGCACTTGGGAGGTTGCAGGGCAATGGCAGGGATAGACCTGGCCTGTCCCTGCTCCCTGGGATTCCCTGGAAAAGAACTTTACTCTTTCTACTACCAAATCACCAAATTCCACAAAACTGGAAGCAGCGCTGCCAGACACAGGGAAGGGGGTCACAGCCCTCGCTGCCAGCTCCAGTTAAGCCCAGCCTAAGTGTGCCTGTTCCTGAGTGACAACAGTGCCAGTCATCCTTCCTGCTCCAAGGAGCAGCCTCGGGCAGGGGGAGCGGAGCTGCCCAGAAATCCATCAGCACAAGAGGAAAAGGATCTGACAGGAGCAGGCTCTGCCAGAGAAATGCACAACTGAGCACAAGACTCAAATCAGACAGCAGCACTCAAAGGGACATGAAGGGAGATTTTTCTCTCTTCCTACTAAACTGTCACTCAGCAAATGAGTTTTGTTTGTTTAAAACTCAAAGAATTATAAATCACACGGGGAGATTATAATTCCAGCTTTTATTCAAATTGTGACCAGCTCTTGCAATTAATGACTCCAGCAGATACAGATTTACTGCTCAAATGTTCTTCTCCAGGCTTTAACTCAGAAATGTAACAGGATGTTTTATTCTATACAGAAGCTTCCCTTTATGGAAAACAATGGGATCAACCCAAAGGCAAAGGGAGGAAAGGAAGGGTGAGGAGGGGGCAGCTTAAAGGAAATGTCTTCACTAAGCCAGTGTTCTCTAAGATATCCCAGAGCCTGCAGAAAACAGGGGCATTAAAAAAAAGGAAATTTTACTGTTTATCCCAGCAAGACTCTCAGGCATCACTCAAAAATTGTATTTTTTAAAATCCTGAAGTTCTACCACATTCTTACAGAGCTGCTCACGAGACACTCAAGAATCTTCTCTTGCTTGTCTTGCTGACACATTTCCTGCTGTCAGAACAGGAATTGTGATTCCAGCCAGCTGGAGGTTCAGGGCACATGGAAAGGTCAGAGAAGGAACTGCTCAGGAGGAATAATGGGTATTTATTCCCGTGTCTTACAGAACACAGGGTTTGATATCCCAAATTGGAGCTCCCCAGGCCAGGTGCTGGGACAGAACAGCATCTGCCACAATGGAGGAGCTGAGGGATTGGGAGTCCTGCACTGGATAAACTCCTCATTAAAGGGTGTCCCTGAGAGCAGGACTGGGGAGGCTGAACAATGACCCTGGAACAGCTGCTGGGTGTCCTGGGATTAATTCTGCAGAGCAGCCCCGTGTCAAAGCCATCACTGTCACTGACAGCCAGCCAGAAAAATCTGCTTGGAATGCATCAAAAGCAATTTACTGCTCAGTGCCCCTGCTGAGGCAGCAGCAGCAGCCTTGTGAAACAAAAACCAAACCCTGTAAAGGTGAATTTCAATCCTTCAAAAGCTCAGAGGTGCAAGCCCAGGCAAGGCACCAGGCTCTGTTTTTAACAACACTTCTTACAGGTTTGTGTCTTAATATCCCTGCAAGTTCTTATTTTGCTTCTCTGTGCAGAGAACGTTTCTCAGGGTATCCCTGCTGTCTCCCTGGAAGGAATTCCTGCTGCTTAACATTAGAAATCTCACTGTATGGGGCTCTTGAAGTGTAATTAGAGAAAACACACAATCACTCACTGGCTCCTTCCCTCTGAGCTCTGCAGCAGCCTCTGCTCAGGTGAGTGTTTCTGCTCTGGAACCTGCACAGAAATACCCAGAGCCAGGACCAGAATCTGCCTTTGCATCTCCAGAATAAACGAGATCTCTTCCTACAACTGGAGAACATGGCTCCACAGAGCCCGTTTATTTCAGCTCTTGAACACAACAATGGGCTTTGGTTACAAAAACCCCGACCTAGGAAGGGGCAGCTCCATAAATTTGACTGGAGCAGGGCTCACATCCAGCTCTCCTTGTGCCCCGAGCCCACAGTTTATGGTTGGTGCTGCAGTTCATGGTTGGGAGTTTTTGTTATTTAGACAAGCAGCCAAAACAAGTCCATCTCCACAGGAGCCAGCCCCAGGCTCCTGTTTGAGGCCTGTTTTAACCAGCACTGCCCTGGACCTAAAAGTACAGCTCGATTTTCCTGGGAACCACCACCCTCACTGCTCCACTCACCCCAAGATGTGCCAGCACGGGCTCACAATAACCCAGCAAGGACTGCTGAGAGGCTGCTCCCCACCTCAGCAGCCAAAAACCACTTCTGACTATTTCTGTCTCATTTGCTGCAGCTGCATGTTGCCCTTCTCAAAAAAACCACCTTTTTGAGTCATTAGGAGGAGGCTTAAAAGGTTTAAAAAGCTCAGAGTAAATGAATGTACAGCACTGTTTTCAGACTGGGACTGCAGGACTTTTTCTTAAAAGCTGCAGCATTTAACAGAATCTTTTATAAACAGAAAATACAGAATGTTTCACTTTTAAAAATAAATTCATGGCCATCAGTAGCAAGTACAAGGAGGAGAGTTGGAGCAGCAATTGAGGAGTGACCTGTCCAGGGGGGGATCATGGAAAAGGCCACTCCAGTGGCTGTAACAACTGTCTGAGCTCCTAATTCTGCTCTGCATTCAGAGTTCTGCAGCTCTGCTTGCATGAGATACCAACAATATTTTGCTAGAGAAAAAAAAACCCTACATTTGAAAACCTGCAACATTCAGAAATCTCTCCATGGAACATAAAAACCTGCTGATCCAGTACTGGTGGTGCTGGTGAGAGACAGAATCCCTCAGTTTGGGTAGCTGAAATCACAAACCACACTCTGAAGGGCAGAATTGCTCAACACCACTGGAAATAAACCTGCAGAAAGACGAGAGCTGCAGCTGCCTCCAGCCTTTCTCTGAGGAAACCTTCCCAGTTTGTTATTTTGCACTCCTGTAGCCCCTTTCAGAGGAGCTCCACAAAGCTGAGTGCCAAGATTCAACATTCCCAATTATTTTGGTCATTTGACAGCAGGCAAAGCTCCATGTGCAAAATGAGATGATTATCTAAAAATACACCCAAAGCAAGAACAGCACGAAAATTAACACAGCCAATTGCCAGGCTTGATGCTCCTTTTAGAGTTTAGTTCTTGAATGATTTCCCCCCAGTTTTTAGCAGTTTTTCTCTGAAGCTCTCCAGTCCCAGGCTGGTGCTGCAGCCCCAGTGTGACTCATGATGACAGTGCTCCTTACTGAACAGGAATAAACACAAGGAATAAAAAGGGACTGTTCACTCAGACTGGAAAAATCCCAAGGGCAATGAAATTATTTTTGTGTGTGAGGAGGTCAAGGAAGGTGATTTTTGCCCTCTGCTCAGAGATGCATTTGGAGAATGGCCTGTTTTGGGCAAACCCCCAAATCAAACTCCCTCCTACACTGAATTCCCAGAGGAGTCCTGGGGAGGCCCCCAAGATACTCAGGGCTCTGCAGTAAAGGAAACTCTAATTAAACATAATTAGACAAAAGTTTCCAGGATAGTTAAACAGCTGTGCCAGAGATCTCCCTGGCTCTGGACTAAAATCCTCCAAAGGATGCACCACAACACCTCCTGACATTGCCACCCTCGTATTCTTCATTATTAAATTACAATTGGCAGCGTCTTTCTGACCATTTAGAGCCAAAACTGAGACACAGATCCAAAGGTCCAGGTCCAGCAGAGACCAGAATTACTTTTAGTCTCACTCCTACTTCAAGCAGACTCTACCCCATGTTGTCCCTCCCCAATATTGCTTTTCCACCTCAAGGAACTTCTATATTAACACAAACTGCATTTTTCTCTTCCCTGCTGCAGGATGAGTTTGTCCCATGTGACAGCACTGAAAGCAAACAATCCCACTTAATGTGTTTTTGTCTGATTAAAATCCAAATATTCCACAGGGATCTATCCAAATTGAATCCCAACTCTCTGGATTCCCTAAACCAACCTTTCAGGAAAATTACCCTGAAATCTGCTGAACTTTGGAGAAGCACCTTGCAGGCACCCAGGGGGAACCAGTGGATGCACAGACAGTAAACAACAGGGAGAGTTTTGCTGCCTGTAACCCCTGAGTCACAGCCACCTCGCTCACTGCTCAAAGCACACAAAAGCTGCCCTGGAATGTGAGGATTAAGAGCAGCAAGGAAAGCCACGACCACTGGTTAGCTAAAAGAAGGAATTTAGAGCAGTAAAAGCAGACATACAGGGGCTTTAGAGGTCCCTCTGTGTCAGCCCCAGAGCATTCCAGGCACTGACTGCACACTGATCATGTCACACCCAACACTGGTGCTTTGCATTACCTGTTTCTCCTCCTCTGGCATATCTTTCTCTAGCTCTAGCAAGTATTCTTCATCTAGTTCTGTCTGCTTCCTCGAGCTACTCCCGTCATCCTGAACGTTCCCTTCATCATCCAGCACAGGTCCTTTGGCCTCAAAGGAGTCGTGACAGTCATGGAAATACTCCTCAGTGGGATCCTGGCCTGGGGAAGGGGCACAGCCACTTCCAAAGCTCTGGGGGTGCTGGGCATCTCTGGGGCCAGTCCCTGCAGACTTCTGGTCTGAGAGCTTCAGGTGATTCAGTAACTCCTCAGGCGGACTTGCATCTTTAAATTCTTCCATGCTGGACCTGGGAGGGGGTCGTGGAAATGAGAAAGGAGCGACACTCAATCACCATTGATTAGTCAGCAAACAAATCCCAGGGTGGCTGAGGCTGGAAGGGACCACAGGGGGTCACTGGTGCCACCTCCTGCACTCCCAAGCACAGGGTTGTGTCCAGGCAGCTCTGCAGCAGCCCCAGGGAGGAGACCCCAGCCCCTCTCCGGGCTCTGCCCAGGGCAGCTCTGTCTCCTGGGCAGGGGGAATTGCTGGGCTCCGTCCCTGTGACTGCTCTGCAGCCACTGCACGGCCCGGGCGCTGCTCTGCCCCCCTCCCCTTTTATTTATACACGTCTAAATGTACTTAATAACTTTATTTATTTTATCCACATTTACAAATCTTTAAAGTGCTCTTGACACCCCGAAGGGAAACTCGGATCTCTCGCGGCGAGAGCAGCTTCCCCTGATTCGAGGCCCCGTGCAGGGACCCGGGGCCCTGCGCCCGTGAGCACGGGAATTGCCGAACTCAGATCCCCGGGAGCAGCCGGGCACAGCCCCGGGGGACCGAGCCCAAACACCGCCCCCGGCACGGCCCGGCCCGGCCCGGCACGGCTGGCCCCGCGCGGCCCCTCCAGCCCCGCCACGACCCCCGGGACGCCAGGCCCGGTCCGCGGGGCCCGCCCCGCGCTTCCCGGAGCTGAGGGGATGGTCCAGACCGAGGCCATCGCCCCCGACTCCGCCGGGCCCCGCCGGGCCCCCCGAGCCCTGGGCCCGCACTCACCTGCGCCAGCTGCACTTCCGGCTTCCGGCTTCCGGCACGCCTCCGGCACGTGGAGGCCGCTTCCGGCATCGACAGCCAATGGGCGAGGGGGCGCGCGCGGGGCATGCCGGGGACTGTAGTTCCCTGCTGTGACGCCAGGGAGCGCAGGTGAGGGCAGGTGAGGGCAGAGGAAGAAAGCCAAGAACAGCTGAGGGCAGATAAGAGCAGGTGCCTCATGCCGCCAGTGGCCTCTTTCTCCCCAGGGCTGCTCTGCCATAGATAATTTCTCCCCATGTTTGTTGTCAGCTCCTTCAGGCCCTGTGAGGCCACAGTTGTGTCACCCCAAAGCTTCTCCTGTCCAGGCTGAACAATCCCAGCTCTCCCAGCCCTTTCTCCCAGCAGAGCTGCTCCATCCCTCTGAGCATCCTCTGGGCTCTCTGCAGCAGCTCCAGGTGCTCCCTGTGCTGGTCCCAGGCTGGGGCAGCTCTGCAGGTGAGGTCTCACCTGAGCAGGGCACAGAGACACAATCCCAGCCCCTTCCCTGCTGCCCATGCCGGGGGATCAGCCCAGGGCACAGGGGTTCATTTTCCCACGTGCAGCTCTCAGCTACCATCTCTCTCTCCATCTCTGCATCCCCAGCCTGGACCGACCCCAGGAATTTCCTCTGATCCAGGTGCGGCACCAGCTCTTGGCTGTGTCAGACCTCCTGAGGTTCCCAGGACCTGCTTCTCCCATTTCATGGTTCTACAGCTCAGGAATATGTGGGTTTTCCCCTGGAACTTTGGGATGATCCTCCTCTTGTTCAGCCTCACACCCCATTCTGGTTTCATACAACAATAAAGGTGTTAAAGTATTTAAAATCTGAGCCCAAGAGGAGGCTTGAATTGTGCCAGGGATGGACCAACACCCTCGGGTTCAAACAGCCAGAAACTCGGGAGAACTTGAGTTGTTCTTTAGAAACTCCTAAATACTGCTGCTTACAGCAGAAGATTCAACAGGTGACAATTTGAGTTGAGAAAACCCAGCAATCCGGAAAATACCTTCTCATTATTTATTATAATTATTGAACCCAGGATATCCAAGAAGTGTTACTGTTTAAAAGGCTGGATTTGTGTCGAAGGGATTCCAGCGGATCGGAGGATTTGCGGCTCTCCCCGGCCACAGAAATCCCATAGGTGGCGATGTTGGATTTTCCAAGCAGGTCCCGGTTCCTTTCCGTGTGAAACTGGTGAGGTTTGGGAAGGCAGGGCTGGAGCTCTTGACAAATATTGCACAACTACCTCAGGCTCCAGGCCATATGTTAAATTTACTTCTCGGGACAGCTTTTTTGATCTTCACAGTGAAGAAACCAAAGCTCAACAAATCAAGCAAATGAAAAATAATTACCATTTTTCTGGAGGTCACAGAAAGTTCAGGCTCTTCACCAGAATTAAACATTTGCACACAAGTCTCAGTGGAATCAAATGATTGTGCTTCCCAAAGAACATTTTGAAAGGAAATTGTGAAATAGGCAATTAAAGGCTTTTTAATCATAGCTATAAATTAAAGTTTTACTACATCCGCTTTTTAGGCTGACTAAAGCAGTGATGGATTCTTATTAATTTTGAATATCCATTCTCTTTTTCTCTGTGTCTTGGCTGGAGTGCTATAAGGATTATGGGAATTGCTAGACAGGGAGCATGTTCTTCACAGCTCAAGCCAATGTATTTTGTCACGAGAAATTCCCAGTAACAGCCCCAGGTTTCCTTTCCCTGTCTCCGTCCACTTACGTGGAAGTGGAGTTTTAGCTATTCTGAGAAAAAGCCAGGTCACAGATTACAACTGAGTAAAAATGTAATGTCATTTTCTGTTTTAAGCCAGGCAGGAGAGCAGAGGGGTGCAGGGGGACCCGTCCCTGTCCCAGTGACATAAATTGACATCACAGCCCTGCTTTTCTCAGTTTGGTTCCAACCCAAGCAGACAGGTTGTCCTGGGATGGTTAAATCTGGTGATGGAATTGCAACCTTTCAGTCCCCCAAAAAAATCACAGTGGGCAGGAGCATTTCTGGGTTGCGTTGACATAAACCCAGTGTGATGTGGGTTCGCATTCCAAAGTGTTTCTGCCCTCCCCAGGTGCAGGTGGTGTTCGTGTGACCCACCGTCCCTGTGCTCCATGTCCTGCCCTCTGGAATGTGTGAGCCAGGGAGGAGCTGGGAAGAAGGTGAGCAGATCTCTTGTGGAGTGAATCAAACCAGAATTCAGTGTATTCCCGGTGGGATGAGCTGGTTAGATGTGGGATAAGCAGTACTGGATGTGAGCACACCGGTAATTCCATCCCATAACTGCTGTGATTATCTCCTGTGCCGGGCAATTTTCTGCTCATTTGTCTGAGGTGAAAGTCAAGCACACAAACTCAGAGCACAGAGCTCAGCTGCTGAATAGAAAGTTGCTATTTTGACATTTTCCAGCCTGGAACTGTACTTTCTAATACCTCTCCTCTCCCCATCACATTTGTAAAGATAATGGGAAGCTGCATTTCCAAAGAGCAAAGGATGCAGGATGCTCTCCAGCCTCAGCCTCATTCAGCTGGATTGATTTTATCATAACTCTTCTCACAAATAAGCAGCACTTCTGTGAGAGCTGCGTGTGCTGAAGCCTGATGGGTTTAATTTCTGTACAGCTGGGCTGTGACACAGCTCCCTGAGCCATTCCAGCTGTGCCTCTCCACTGGGTGGCTCTGGACCAGCCCCTCCTCAGGGATGAAGCTCCACACAGCAGCTTAACCTGGGGAAATTCAGTGTTTTATGAACACCTTGGGTGCTAAATGGCAGCAATTCATTTTGAGAGGTGAATCTGTTTGCCCACAGAGTGGGTTCATCAGGAAGTCTGTGAATGAGCATGAAAAAGATGCCACCACATGTCACTGCAAGTTCTGCTTGGCAAATTCATTTTGGCTGTAATAAAAAAATTGGCTTGTCCCACAAGGCCTTATGATCGTGCCCTGGCCCAAATAGTTTTTCCTTTAAAGGAAAACTTTGCATCAAATGAAGGATTGACATAAGGAAGAGGGTGATTTGTGCACCCTCCTTTGGGCTGGCTTTGCCTGGTGGAGGTTGTAAAAGATTCCAGTGGGGAAAATGAAGATATTCAGAAAAGATCTCATCTGGACAAGTCAGATGGCCTTGCAAAAGTTTCATATTTTAAGGTGGCATATCAGACTTTCTCCTCTGTAATCTTTGTAGTCCCTACTTCAGATCCATGTGGAGTTTTTTCCCATTTTATAGAATTTTTATTACCTGACCCTGTGTTGAGGCTGTGACTGGAGGTGAAGCTGCTGTTGTTTGACTCTTCTTATCCGTGAGGCAAAGGAGAAGCCTCTCAATGTGCAGACTCTTGGAAAGAGTGCTCAAGGAACCAGGGCTGGGGTTTGGCTCTCCAGTGCTCACTGCTGTTTTGGGAGGTATTTGGAGGGATTTAGCGGTGTTGTTTTTAGAAATCAGATCCTCTGGCAGCCTGGATGTCTGCAGGACACTCACTGGAGTGCTGAAATGGAGATTCTGAGCTCTCACCACTGCTGGAATTTTCCAGCTTTCTACAAGATTCCAGTGAAAGAACTCCTTTATCTAATTCCTGATGGAGGAGTTACGTGTGCTGGTGATGAGGGAAACAACTGCATCCCAGGAGCCACAGTGGCAAATTTAGTGGCCACGAGTGTTTTATTTTGTAGTGAGAATCCTGATGAGGGATCTTGGCTGAATTCCAGCCCTACAGGAACAGGAGCAAGTGTTTCAATTGTTGAGAAATTACTTTAATCATTGTTTTCCATCTCTAAAGTGCCAGTGTACAGCGATGTAGGGAACAATTGGGAATTATGGACAGAGACAGGGACAGCCTGGAGAGGAATGACCTCAGTGCATTCCTCATTGCTCCATCCATCATCCATCCTCCATCCATCCATCATCCATCCATCCATCATCCCTCCATCCATCATCCATCCATCATCCATCATCCATCCATCATCCATCCATCATCCATCCTCCATCCATCCATCATCCATCCATCCATCATCCCTCCATCCATCATCCATCCATCATCCATCATCCATCCATCATCCATCCATCATCCATCCTCCATCCATCCATCATCCATCCATCCATCATCCCTCCATCCATCATCCATCCATCATCCATCATCCATCCATCATCCATCCATCATCCATCCTCCATCCATCCATCATCCATCCATCCATCATCCCTCCATCCATCATCCATCCATCATCCATCATCCATCCATCATCCATCCATCATCCATCCTCCATCCATCCATCATCCATCCATCCATCATCCCTCCATCCATCATCCATCCATCATCCATCATCCATCCATCATCCATCCATCATCCATCCTCCATCCATCCATCATCCATCCATCCATCATCCCTCCATCCATCATCCATCCATCATCCATCATCCATCCATCATCCATCCATCATCCATCCTCCATCCATCCATCATCCATCCATCCATCATCCCTCCATCCATCATCCATCCATCATCCATCATCCATCCATCATCCATCCATCATCCATCCTCCATCCATCCATCATCCATCCATCCATCATCCCTCCATCCATCATCCATCCATCATCCATCATCCATCCATCATCCATCCATCATCCATCCTCCATCCATCCATCATCCATCCATCCATCATCCCTCCATCCATCATCCATCCATCATCCATCATCCATCCATCATCCATCCATCATCCATCCTCCATCCATCCATCATCCATCCATCCATCATCCCTCCATCCATCATCCATCCATCATCCATCATCCATCCATCATCCATCCATCATCCATCCTCCATCCATCCATCATCCATCCATCCATCATCCCTCCATCCATCATCCATCCATCATCCATCATCCATCCATCATCCATCCATCATCCATCCTCCATCCATCCATCATCCATCCATCCATCATCCCTCCATCCATCATCCATCCATCATCCATCATCCATCCATCATCCATCCATCATCCATCCTCCATCCATCCATCATCCATCCATCCATCATCC